GAAGCCACTCCTTCGTTGCCCGGGCGGTGTGTTTGGGATCATTGTCATGCTGAAAGACCCAGCCACGTTTCATCTTCAATGCCCTTGCTGATGGAAGGAGGTTTTCACTCAAAATCTCACGATACATGGCCCCATTCATTCTTTCCTTTACACGGATCAGTCGTCCTGGTCCCTTTGCAGAAAAACAGCCCCAAAGCATGATGTTTCCATCCCCATGCTTCACAGTAGGTATGGTGTTCTTTGGATGCAACTCAGCATTCTTTGTCCTCCAAACACGACGAGTTGAGTTTTTACCAAAAAGTTATATTTTGGTTTCATCTGACCATATGACATTCTCCCAATCCTCTTCTGGATCATCCAAATGCACTCTAGCAAACTTCAGACGGGCCTGGACATGTACTGGCTTAAGCAGGGGGACACGTCTGGCACTGCAGGATTTGAGTCCCTGGCGGCGTATTGTGTTACTGATGGTAGGCTTTGTTACTTTGGTCCCTGCTCTCTGCAGGTCATTCACTAGGTCCCCCCGTGTGGTTCTGGGATTTTTGCTCACCGTTCTTGTGATCATTTTGACCCCACGGGGTGAGATCTTGCGTGGAGCCCCAGATCGAGGGAGATTATCAGTGGTCTTGTATGTCTTCCATTTCCTAATAATTGCTCCCACAGTTGATTTCTTCAAACCAAGCTGCTTACCTATTGCAGATTCAGTCTTCCCAGCCTGGTGCAGGTCTACAATTTTGTTTCTGGTGTCCTTTGACAGCTCTTTGGTCTTGGCCATAGTGGAGTTTGGAGTGTGACTGTTTGAGGTTGTGGACAGGTGTCTTTTATACTGATAACAAGTTCAAACAGGTGCCATTAATACAGGTAACGAGTGGAGGACAGAGGAGCCTCTTAAAGAAGAAGTTACAGGTCTGTGAGAGCCAGAAATCTTGCTTGTTTGTAGGTGACCAAATACTTATTTTCCACCATAATTTGCAAATAAATTCATAAAAAATCCTACAATGTGATTTTCTGGATTTTTTTCTCTCAATTTGTCTGTCATAGTTGACGTGTACCTATGATGAAAATTACAGGCCTCTCTCATCTTTTTAAGTGGGAGAACTTGCACAATTGGTGGCTGACTAAATACTTTTTTCCCCCACTGTAACTAGTCCCTGTGTATAAAACTAGCATTCTCCCTAATCAAATTTCTTGTCAATTTGTTCCGTCAAAATCACTCTGGCTTCCTTGTCGTCTCTCTCTCTCTCCCTCTCTCTCTCTCTCTCTCTCTCTCTCTCTCTCTCTCTCTCTCTCTCTCTCTCTCTCTCTCTCTCTCTCTCTCTCTCTCTCTCTCTCTCTCTCTCTCAATTCAAAGGGGTTTTATTTGCATGGGAAACGTGTTTACATTACCAAAGCAAGTGAAATAAACAATCAACAAAACTGAGAAGACACAAAACATTTTTCAAAACTATTAGAATTTAACATTCAATATTACACTCAAAAATATAGATATTTCAAGTGTTATATTATGCGCTATGTACAGTGTTTTAGCAATGTACAAATAGTTGTAGTACGAATAGTAGGGGAAGATAAATAAACAGATAAATATTGGTGGTATTTACAATGTTGTTTGTGCTCCACTGGTTGCCCTTTCTCTCTCTCTTTCTCTCCTGCTGGCCAGTTGTTTTCCCTGTAACAAGCTGTGCTCCTTGAATCAACACCTGTCCTATTAATCCCTGTATGGCAGCAGGGCTAATGTGATGATGGTTACATGCATGTCCCACTAATTGCTGAGACTACAGAGCTGCAGGAAGGCCTGCCTGGTGGCCCCAGCATAGAGAGAGACTCCCAAAGGAGCCGTCTGTCTGATGTATTCCTGCTTCCCTCTCTGTGATATTGTCATACATTTACATAGCAACAACATCTGGGTTTAGCAGTAACCTAGGAGAGGTTGTGTGTGTATGTGTTTGTGTGTACAGGGATTGATGATGCAGTGATTAATTTATTTCTTAGTGCTATGTATTCAAAGTCATTTTTTTTTTTTGATGTTTTCATCAATATCCAAGCATTTGATGTTTAGAAGTAACTGATATGAAGTCTTTGAAAATCATATCATGTGTTTTACTAGAGTACAAGGAGATAGAGGACTTAGCTATGGCTTGATATTGGCACTGTAGACATATTAGACAAGTTATGAATTCTTTAACTGATGTACTGCTTTGTAAATCACAGGTCATCGTGAAGTCGGGGCCAGGAACTTTTTTTGGCCTGGCTATTTATGGGGACTTCATCTTCTGGTCAGACTGGGCTCGCAGGGCCGTGCTACGATCCGACAAGTACACAGGTGGAGAGACCAAGGTACTGCGAGCAGATATCCCCCACCAGCCCATGGGTATCATCGCTGTGGCAAATGACACCAACAGCTGTGAGTATCTAGACTTACGACACCAACTTCCTGGAATCTTTTCTCAAAAAGACAGGGATAGACTGTTTTGTGAATGTTTGGGAGCCTATGTATGTCTGTGCAATGCACCTCCAGTAGGGAATGTGTAGGAGAAGAATAGATCTATTAGTGTAATAGTATTTTTTTTTTCATCTGTCTATTGCTGATCTGTGCATTTGCCTGCATTTAGTTTGGGTTTTCCACTAGAACTCACAGCAGTGTATCTACTTACCAGGGCTCCTTCTCTTGATGTGAAGAAAATGGTGGGAATGATAAATTAAGATGGTCTTATTTAGCTGGGGAGAAACTAAAGCTGGCAACGTAATTAATAAAAAATAATCCTTGAGTTTGAGAGGAGGGCTCTGAAGTGTTGCATATGTACTGTAAGTACTAGGACATTGGGGAAAGTACTTAAGAGCTTCCCAATGGCTTGACTCTCTCTGTGAGGATGCTGAGGGACTTTTCCTTCTCATTTATTTCATCATCGCAAATGATCGCAGACAACTTTTTGACCTCTCCGTCTTGCCAAAGTGATAAGTAACAACCTGCAATGTTTCAATGTTATCCAAAGCTTATTACAGTACAGGTAATGCATCCATTTTTAGTATGTATGTGATCCCTGCGGGGATTGAACCTAGATTGCTACTGTCATGCTATTACATGTATAGCTGAACCACACAGGACCACTGTTCTTCTCACCCCAGTTTTCCTCCTCCAGATAGTTAAATGTGAAGTGAATGTCTCCACATCCTCATTAGTCTTCCTGTCTGTCCTTCCTGATCCTCCCGTTCCTCTGTAATCAGATGAGGCCAACCTGAACCTGGGGGCTCTAGGAGCTCTTCCAGAGGCCTGCTGAGTCATCCATCCTCACACACACATACGCACACACACGCACCCGACACATCCCTCACACACACATCCCCCTCACAAAGACACTGATGCGTGAATGAGAGGCAGAGCGTTGGAGGGGAGGGAAGGAAACCTATGGTTCATTTGTCACATGTCCTGTGAGCACTGGTGATTTCTGTGCTTTATTGTTCCCCTCCCTTTGCATCCTTCACTCTTTCTTTATCAGGGAGGATGAGACCATACCTGCTTGTTCCTGTCACACTGACTGAACTAATGCATCCTTTATGGTGGGCTGGTGGGAGGTGGGAGCTGGGGGTTGGGACTGTTGGCCTTGAAATAAACTCTATGCTAATTGAGGTTTAGCCGTTAATAAACTGGTGACATTCAGTTTAGTTTATTGGTCGTTCTTCAGCGTTATTAAATGTTCTTAAAAACAGTTGATATAAAAAAATTCTGAAGGGCTTTGACATTGCAATATACTGTAATAATTGCAACCTCACTTTGTCTCTGTCTTTTTGACTCATGTTATGTCTATATAGCATCTGTTGTTGGTCTCCTGTTGTGTCTATAATATCTGTAATTGGCCGTGTGTTTTGTAGGTGAGCTGTCCCCATGCAGACTCAAAAACGGTGGCTGTGGTGACCTGTGTCTATTGACCCCAGATGGAAGAGTCAACTGTAGTTGTCGGGGAGCACGTGTGCTATTAGATGACAACAGATGCATTTGTAAGTTATGACATTTTGCTTTTTAACAAACCATACATTCAATAATCTTGCAATTCTCACAAAAATATAACTTAATTGATTGCTCTAGATCAGATTTTTAACTTATACTTTTTTTGAGAGAAATGTTCCCTCTAGTAATTATCTATACACTTTTATTCACTGGCAAGAACAGACTGTTTTAGGCAGTTGTAATACATTAGCACCCAATTAACTTTGTTTCAGAGGGGAATATGCAGTGTTTGTACTTTTAACAAATAGGTCACACTGGAACGGTTACAGCTAAGCCTGGTGCAGCTACTGCTATCTTTAAGACCACAGCTAAAGCCATTATGGTGAGAAAATGCACAAACATTTGACTTGACTAAGCTAGTTAAACAAGTTACCTACTTTTGCAGCGGAGAATTCCTCCTGCAACATCCACACAGAATTTGAATGCGGAAACGGCGAGTGCATCAACTATCAGTTTACATGTGATGGAATAGCGCACTGCAAAGACAAGTCAGATGAGAAAATGCAATATTGTGGTAAGCAATTTATCTCATATCAGCATTTTGGTACTTCAAAGTCTGCTTTTGGAAATCTCTCCCAGTCTATAAAAAAAATAATTAATTATCTACTACTACATGCAAAGCAAGCAAGCCCATTCCTATACTGGACATGCTGTAGCCAACCATATGGCATGACAACAATAGCAGGGTTGGCTACAGGGTCAATTCCATCAAAATTCCAGTCACTTCTGGAAGTACACTGAAATTCAAATTCCAACTATCTTCAATGCTTTTCAATGAGGAAAATTTTGAATTTGAATTTGGTGTACTTTCTGAATTTAGTGGAATTTAAATGGAATTGACCCCAACCCTGATGACAACCATAGAAGAATTGGCTAGAGCACATTAATTGTGGGAGTGCACCAGTTGTTATCTAGAGGATGACATAATAAGAAAATGACAGTAGGACTAAGGACTACCATTACCATATTTTGAACATGTTTTGTAATTTCGCCAGATAACAGGAACTGTAGGAGCGGCTTTAGGGCGTGCGATAACCAGCGCTGTGTGGCCAACAGTCGTTTCTGCGACGGGGTGGATGACTGTGGGGACAACTCAGACGAAGCCTTTTGTAACAGTGAGTATGGACAGAAAGACCGCTTAATCTCCCAGTCAATCCTGACCAGGTCTCTGTCTGCTAACGCTCTGTGTGTGTGCGTGCAGCATATAGCAGGCTCCACACTGGGCTAAGCCTATCTCTTTAATGAATCCCAGCATCACATCGCTCCTCAAAGACCAAGGGCCACTCGCAGACTGAGAATACTGTCTGAGTCAGAAGGGGAGGATATTGGGCACAAATTGTTCAGAAAATCATGTTAAGATTCCCCCAGCCCGAATCTCCCATCTTTGTCATTGCTGTTCTAATCAAGTGGTATTCCAAATCCACTTTGCTATTATTTTCGATTTAGTTTCTGTGGCTGTTATTCAGCTGCATGCAGTTGGCCCAGAGGAAAACAAACCCAGCACTTTTTAACAGGAACTTAATGTGCTTTAAACCTGAAACGAGACAATTAAGAGAGGCCATGAGGCAGCAGTAGGATTCTCTAAAGATGGATGAAGCTCCCAAGGACTGGGATTTCAGGCACATCTAGCTGTAATGACTCTCAAAGCATGCAGTCGGTTTGTTTTTTTAATGGCAAACTATCAAAAATGCCCCTGTTTCTATAACCATTAAAACGTTTAATTATATGCAATTAACTGAAAATACTATAGTTTCCGTAGATGGTAAATCGAGCAAGAGAACCCCTTCTCTTCACTAGATCGATCAAATATAATGTCCCTGTAGGGTCTCAGTATCTAATGTGCATTAGTGTATTAGTAGGGCTCATAATAACAGACCATAAATGGCATTTGCATGAACTAAATTATCATTAATAAGTCCTAAAGTTATCATGTTTTTGATAACTAATATACCTTTGTTTGTTTGCGTTGAACTCATTCTCACGCATGCATGCAAACAAGGCGCGCACATACACACACCTGGCATCCTCCCTATCCTAGATATCCTCCCTAGACCTGATGCTAAACACTACTGAGCCATCTACATGGGTTACACTATTAACTGGTCCCTCTCTCCCTGATGATTTAGCATGGGGTCTTTTCGAATGGTTAATTTCTCTCTCCCCTCTCAGATGTCACCTGTGCATCGTTTGAATCCTCATGCCAGGATGGGAGCTGTATCCCCGGCTCAGCCTGGTGTAACCAGATCATTGACTGTGCTGATGCCTCAGATGAAAAGAACTGCAGTAAGTTACGTTTATGCTAACATGGTAGCCTCATCACCATTGATGGATCGCTTGTTTTCAGTCATTCAGCGTTATCCAGATTATTATTGCTTTGTTATTACACAGGTAAACAAGCAACTTAATGTACAGTGTTACTAGCTAGGCTTCCATCCAATTGGCAAATGATTTTAATGCAAATATTCTAGAATCCGTATTAAGAAAATTGGTCATTTTCATATGTAGCCTAATAAACTACATGGTTTCCTGAGTCGTAGTGGGAGGACCTCACACCATATCATTGCATGACTCCAAGTTTACTTGCCATATGATGGTTTTATCAATATTTGCGCATAAAGGCATTTCCACCGCCATTTCTCGCATTATTAATTTTACCGACACAAAAAGATCTCACCATGTCGAACTAACAAATGATCTGTCTGCATTTATAAAATTGTACCGAAACGTCCTGTTTCCATCACAGCTGTGGTGATTTTTTTAAAATACGGTATGACTTTACTCGCATAAAAACTGTGGATGGAAACCTGGTTAATGTTACCTTTTTATACCTTAGTGTTACCTACTGTTAGCAGATTTACAGTAGCTCATGTTTATCTAGCTAAGGTTAGCTAATGTTTTTGTGTAGATCACACAGACTGCTCTGAATTCTACAAACTGGGGGTGAAAGAGAAAGGCTTCATCAGCTGTAACTCCACCTCCCTTTGTATCCACCCCTCCTGGATCTGTGATGGAGCCAACGACTGTGGAGATTATGCAGATGAGACCAACTGCCAGGGTGAGACTCTTGTCTTGTCTTCTCCTCTCTTCTCTCCTCTCCTCTCTCTGCCTAAGGAAGACAGATCGAGGAAGTCAGCTTCAATTAGAGAAGACTTACAGAAAATCATAAAACATAGATATACCATTTTCTGAAGTGATTAGTATAGCGGTTCGAGAGTTTCAAGTTCCTTGGTGTCCACATCACCAACAAACTATCATGGTACAAACATACCAAGACAGTCGTGAAGAGGGCACAACAACACCTTTTCCCTCTCAGGGGACTGAAAAGATTTGGCATGGGTCCCCAGATCCTCAAATAGTTCTACAGCTGCACCATCGAGAGCATCCTGACTGGTTGCATCACCGCCTGGTATGGCAACTGCTCGGCATCCGACCATAAGGTGCTACAGAGGGTAGTGCGTACGGCCCAGTACATCACTGGGGCCAAGCTTCCTGCCATCCAGGACCTATATACTAGGCGGTGTCAGAGGAAGACCCCAGAAATTGTCAAAGACTCCAGTCACCCGTCATAGACTGTTCTCTCTGTTACCGCATGGCAAGCGGTAACGGAGCGCCAAGTCTAGGTCCAAAAGGCTCCATAGCTTCTACCCCCAAGCCATAAGACTGCTGAACAATTAATCAAATGGCCACCCGGACTATTTACATTGACCCCCCCCCCCCCCTCTTTGTTTTTACACTGCTGCTACTCGCTGTTTATTATCTGTGCATAGTCACTTTACCACAACCTACATGTACATTTTATACATTTACTTCATTTAGCAAACGCTCTTATCCAGAGCCACTTACAAATTGGTGCATTCAACTTATGATAGCCAGTGGGACAACCACTTTTTTTATGGGGGGAGGGGTGGGGGTGTAGAAGGATTACTTTTATACTATTCCAGGTGTTCCTTAAAGAGGTAGGGTTTCAAGTGTCTCCGGAAGGTGGTCAGTGACTCCGCTGTCCTGGTGTCGTGGGGGAGCTTGTTCCACCATTGGGGGTGCCAGAGCAGCGAATAGCTTTGACTGGGCTGAGCGAGAACTGTGCTTCCGTAGAGTAGGGGGGCTAGCAGGCCAGAGGTGGATGAACATAGTGCCCTCGTTTGGGTGTAGGGTCTGATCAGAGCCTGAAGGTAAGGAGGTGCCGTTCCCCTCACAGCTCCGTAGGGAAGCACCATGGTCTTGTAGTAGATGCGAGCCTCAACTGGAAGCCAGTGGATTGTGCGGAGGAGCGGGGTGACAGGAGAGAACTTGGGAAGGTTGAACACCAGACGGGCTGCAGCGTTCTGGATAAGTTGTAGGGGTTTAATGGCACAGGCAGCGAGCCCAGCCAACAGCGAGTTGCAGTAATCCAGACGGGAGATGACAAGTGCCTGGATTAGGACCTGTGCCGCTTTCTGTGTAAGGTAGGGTCGTACTCTGCGAATGTTGTAGAGCATGAACCTGCAGGATCGGGTCACCGCTTTGATGTTAGCGGAGAATGACAGGGTGTTGTCCAGGGTCACGCCAAGGTTCTTTGCACTCTGGGAGGAGGACACAATGGAGTTGTCAACCGTGATGGCGTGATCATGGAGCGGGCAGTCCTTCCCCGGGAGGAAGAGCAGCTCCGTCTTGCCGAGGTTCAGCTTGAGGTGGTCATCCACACTGATATGTTTGCCAGACATGCAGAGATGCGATTCGACTACCTGGTTATCAGAAGGGAGAAAGGAGAAAAGTAAATGTGTGTCGTCTGCGTAGCAATGATAGGAGAGACCATGTGAGGATATGACAGAGCCAAGTGACTTGGTGTATAGAGAGAATCGGAGAGGGACTAAAACTGAGCCCTGGGGGACACCAGTGGTGAGAGCACGTGGTGCGGAGACAGGTAGGACGCAATCCAAGAGTGAGCAGCGCCGGAGATGCCCAACTCGGAGAGGAGGATCTGATGGTTCACAGTATCAAAGGCAGCAGATAGGTGTAGAAGGATAAGAGCAGAGGAGAGAGAGATAGCTTTAGCAGTGCGGAGAGCCTCCGTGACACAGAGAAGAGCAGTCTCAGTTGAATGACCAGTCTTGAAACCTGACTGGTTTGGATCAAGAAGGTCATTCTGAGAGAGATAGCAGGAGAGTTGGCTAGAGACGGCACGCTCAAGAGTTTTGGAGAGAAAAGAAAGAAGGGATACTGGTCTGTAGTTGTTGACATCGGAGGGATCGAGTGTAGGTTTTTTGAGGAGGGGTGCAACTCTCGCTCTCTACCTACATGTACAAATTACCTCGACTAACCTGTACCCCCACACATTGACTCGGTACCGGTACCCCCTGTACAGTGGGGAAAAAAGTATTTAGTCAGCCACCAATTGTGCAAGTTCTCCCACTTAAAAAGATGAGAGAGGCCTGTAATTTTCATCATAGGTACACATCAATTATGACAGACAAATTGAAAAAAATAAATCCAGAAAATCACATTGTAGGATTTTTTATGAATTTGTTTGCAAATTATGGTGGAAAATAAGTATTTGGTCACCTACAAACAAGCAAGATTTCTGGCTCTCACAGACCTGTAACTTCTTCTTTAAGAGGCTCCTCTGTCCTCCACTCGTTACCTGTATTAATGGCACTTGTTTGAACTTGTTATCAGTATAAAAGACACCTGTCCACATCCTCAAACAGTCACACTCCAAACTCCACTATGGCCAAGACCAAAGAGCTGTCAAAGGACACCAGAAACAAAATTGTAGACCTGCACCAGGCTGGGAAGACTGAATCTGCAATAGGTAAGCAGCTTGGTTTGAAGAAATCAACTGTGGGAGCAATTATTAGGAAATGGAAGACACAAAAGACCACTGATAATTTCCCTCGATCTGGGGCTCCACGCAAGATCTCACCCCGTGGGGTCAAAATGATCACAAGAACGGTGAGCAAAAATCCCAGAACCACACGGGGGGACCTAGTGAATGACCTGCAGAGAGCTGGGACCAAAGCAACAAAGCCTACCATCAGTAACACACTACGCCGCCAGGGACTCAAATCCTGCAGTGCAAGACGTGTCCCCCTGCTTAAGCCAGTACATGTCCAGGCCCGTCTGAAGTTTGCTAGAGTGCATTTGGATGATCCAGAAGAGGATTGGGAGAATGTCATATGGTCAGATGAAACCAAAATATAACTTTTTGGTAAAAACTCAACTCGTCGTGTTTGGAGGACAAAGAATGCTGAGTTGCATCCAAAGAACACCATACCTACTGTGAAGCATGGGGGTGGAAACATCATGCTTTGGGGCTGTTTTTCTGCAAAGGGACCAGGACGACTGATCCGTGTAAAGGAACGAATGAATGGGGCCATGTATTGTGAGATTTTGAGTGAAAACCTCCTTCCATCAGCAAGGGCATTGAAGATGAAACGTGGCTGGGTCTTTCAGCATGACAATGATCCCAAACACACCGCCCGGGCAACGAAGGAGTGGCTTCGTAAGAAGCATTTCAAGGTCCTGGAGTGGCCTAGCCAGTCTCCAGATCTCAACCCCATAGAAAATCTTTGGAGGGAGTTGAAAGTCTGTGTTGCCCAGCGACAGCCCCAAAACATCACTGCTCTAGAGGAGATCTGCATGGAGGAATGGGCCAAAATACCAGCAACAGTGTGTGAAAACCTTGTGAAGACTTACAGAAAACGTTTGACCTGTGTCATTGCCAACAAAGGGTATATAACAAAGTATTGAGAAACTTGTGTTATTGACCAAATACTTATTTTCCACCATAATTTGCTAATAAATTAATTACAAATCCTACAATGTGATTTTCTGGATTTTTTTTTCTAATTTTGTCTGTCATAGTTGACGTGTACCTATGATGAAAATTACAGGCCTCTCTCATCTTTTTAAGTGGGAGAACTTGCACAATTGGTGGCTGACTAAATACTTTTTTCCCCCACTGTATATAGACTCGTTATTGTTATTTTATTGTGTTACTTTTTATTTAATTTTTTACTTTTATTTATTTTGTAAATATTTTCTTAACTCTATTTCTTGAACGGCATTGTTGGTTAAGGGCTCGTAAGTAAGAATTTCACGGAACTGTTGTATTCGGCGTGTGTGACAAATACAATTTGATTTGATTAGGGGTGCCAGAATTATGGATTCTGAGAGAGTTTAGGGCCAAGATAATGACCTGAATCACCACTGAATCAACTCTCAGATGACTCTCCCTTCCATTGTTGTCGGCCCTAGTTTCCCATGGGCAGACGTGTGAAGAGGGCCATTTCGCCTGCCCCAGCGGTAACTGCATCTCCAGTGTGTGGCTGTGTGACGGACAGAAGGACTGTGAGGACGGGGCAGATGAGTTTCAGTGTGGTAAGGCTTTGCTATGTTTATTGGACCATGTGGGTAGAGACATTTCATTGCATTACAGAAGACCATTTATTAGTGGGCTTGTCTCACTGCTAGCCCACTCATTAGGCAGGATTAGGCGGTCACCTATGGTGAGGCGGAATTTTCTGAGCTAAACTGACGAAGACGCACCTCCAACAACAACACATAAAACCTCACATCATTCTGCCCAAAAACAATGACAATTTCTCTTAACCAGTTGCATATTGGCGTTTTAGGTGAACGCTGATGCCACCTTTTGATAAGCAGTGCCCACTAAGTCAAACGCAGGGGCGCAAAATATTTTGCTTGTCTATTCCCAGAACTTTGTGCAGTTCCGGACCAGCCTTGATTTCCACATCCACGGACATTGGTTTTTGGTCCAGATCAAATCTGAACCAATCATAGACGTCTATATTTGGTTCAGATTTTGTCCGGTCTGGACCAGCCTCGATTTGGCCCAAACATAGACGTCTGTAAAATACGTATTTTCAACATCCGGATAATAAATATTTTCAATTTCATTCAGAACTGAAAATAAACCAGATTTCAACGTCCGGAAAGTACTTTTTTTTTTTTACATCAGGAAAATATGCCTTTTCAACGTTCTGGAAATATGTATTTTAAACATACGGAAAATACATTTTCACCTTTCATTCAGAACCTAAATTGAACCTAACTTCAACGTCTGGAAAATACGTATTTTAGACGTCTTCTCAACGTCATTATTCTTACTGGGACTGTTCTAGTTTTGTGGGGGGCAGCATTCTTTGGTCTCGCTTATGGTGGCAGAACGGCAAGGACTCGCCCTGGCTTGTCTGAATTACTTCTAGACAACCACAGGAAGACACAAATCCAGTGTTAGCAGTGACACATCACTAATGATTGGAGTTAATTGTCTCTACTGGATATTGTATTGTTCATCCTCATTGTGTATTTAATTGCTTGCCAAGTTGTCTGCTAGCCTACTTATGTGTATAAAGAGTATACCTCCAGCCCTGATATTCAAATAGAGCCACTTAAAAAGGACACAGTGGTGTTTTTTCCCTGGCTTTTAATTAGCATATTCTCCCCTTGTGTGTAACAGTTAATTAATTAACCATTAGTCATTTTGAATTGTTACCAGAGATGGAAACATGTGGGTTCACTGAGAAATGGCTGACATCTGAACGGATCACATGGAATGTTCCCCCACACTGACCTTTCACATGGAACCCTGCACATGGAACCCTCTCAACAGGGAAGACAAGAACACTTCTAGCCCACCTCTTTGATCATTTCTAATGTAGGCATAACTTACCATGACAAAGCCTTTCCACTTAGATAGCTAAACCAAAATTGAGTCATGGTCTGGTAAATATAATTTTCTATTAAACAAATGACTTATTTATGTATACCGTTTATGTTTCATTACTTTTGCCGTCAAAGTGATGATGAAGGATCTTCAAGAGTGTTTGAGTGCCACGGAGGTGGTAATACTTATCCTGACCTGCATCACAGCTAGGCTTCAGATTAATAAATGCGATGAACTACTAAGGAATTAATTAATTTAGACAGAATGGCCCACAAAAATAACACTGTCATATGTGTTAATAGTCTTGAAGAGTAAGATAATGTTTATTGAAGTGAAATAAATCACAGTAGATTTGTCAAAATTAAAAGCAGAATGAGGTTTGGTAATCATGTTAACTGGGTGACTCAATTTCATCTAACACAACATGATTATGTGTACCATCAAATGACTGAAAAACACTTTCCCATTCATTTAGGTAAGTGCTTCATTATTGTTAGAATTTATTTGAATTTGAAATAATGGTATTGAGAATTGCAAATGTACCGTAGCTCCTTTCAAAACTAAGCATTCAGTCTGTTAGATGTTTAGAATGGGCATTCTCAGGACAAATGGAAAATATTTCCATTTCTCTTAGTTGATTACCATATAAAAAGCCAGAGCTATTGATAAACTGAAAGTAAAGGGAAATAGTTAGAAGAATATGTCATTATATCACTGGAAATCCAAAATCTCACAACTGATTAGATGAAATACTTATCTGTCATTATAAAATGTCTGATGAGCTTTCCCCGTACAGTGAAATACCACTGAAGCCTAAGATATGAAATATTAGCATCTCGAGAATGAGCCTTTGTCGAGACATCTGAAAGAGACAGAGGCATTGGATCTAGGCCCCCAAGGGAGGGTGGTTCTTTGAATTTAAATGAATCCAGATATGAAGGTATGTGTGCCTATCTGTAGGGCTGTTATGATGACCGTATTACTGCCACACCAGCGGTCACAAGTCACGATGGCAGTCAAATTCCACGTGACCTTTTGGTCACGGTAATTAGGCTTCTCCAAGCTCTGATGCTGCTGATGGTCAGTAGTACCCTACCAAACTTGCTAACAGTCTGGTACTCAGCACTCTATTGTCCCTCTAATCACTCTGACATCAATGCAAATGTTATCTAAAATCTAATCAAACACTTCATGAGAGCCCATGAGCTCATGTTGCGCAACATTTCTATAGGCTATGCAATTGCATGAGAAAACAGAGTTTTGATTGCCTCTATTAAAAGAGGAGGATCCCATCAGCTTTCTATAGGCTAGGCCTACTATATTTATTTCTCAACTTTCCTAATATTAAACACATTGCTTCTCTTTACAACAGGGGTATAGCCTACCTGGTTGGCATGAAAATGAACCAAGGAAAAAGCGTCCTCCATTCGCTATTCAAGTGCATAGATGACATGTATTTTTTCTCCTGCCCCAGATTCGAGACAGGTGCATGATAATGGTCCACCCTAAATCAAAACTAATTTCACACATATAGTATTTAGTATATGTAAAGACAAGATTAAATCAAGAATAGTCTGATGGGTGACAATTTTAGCCTATCACTTGTGAATGATGCCCAGCTTGTGTGCAGTAACGCAAGAAACAGCTCATGCCTTTTTTTGCGCATTTTTCAAATAATAGTCGCACACCTCATGTAGCCTAGCCCATAGGCCTATATGTTTTGATAAGGTTTGTATCACAACTAAAGCAGCCAAATAACTTCTTAAAATTAAGCACATAAATCCGCTTTACAATGGGGGTGTAGAGCATAACTGGCATACACACGCAGCTCGTGAGTTTCAAGTTTGGGGAAAATAATTTTCACCATAAAAATGCACCTTTATAATAAAAGCATTACATGCATAATCGCATTTGCGGTCACTTTTGAGAATGGCGTTTTCCCGCTAATTGATTGCATTTTGGAATATTTGCGCTTATAGCCTACTGCCATGTGCACATTGCTGCGCTTATAATGTGAAGAAATAGCCTAATAGTATATCAAAATTTTAAGCTAAACATTCTGATCTGTTGCATCAGCCTAATTGGTTTTAAATGTTTTTTTTTATGCTAGTGGTTGTATTAATTTGGGATCTATCGCATCCCACAACTGTCCCAGACTGTGTTTCGAATATATATTTCTACGCACAGAATTGAATAGGTAAACTTTTGTACTATGGGGGATAGTAGATTGAGATAGGCTAGTGCTTTTTCTGTTCGTTAGGCCTACCCATCTTGTTGCCTGACGAAAAGTAAATGTAGACAGTTCTTCCAACATCTTCAATACGCGCCTCGGAATTTGATAAGGACGCGCGCAGTTGCATTCCCGATATGTCTGTCTTCATTTGTAGCCTGTGAGAAGGACCCGATCATGTGACGGGCATTGGCTAATAAGAATTGAGCGATATCTGAGAGAGCCATGTGAGTGAGAGGTGCTTCGGCACACGCAGCCGGGAGAAGGGAATTTGTATTATTATATTCACCCCAAGGGCACAACGGCCACTGGCCGCAAAAGGCATGGATTGTTTTAGGGGACATTACGGTCACACAAAGGGGATGCCGCCGGGAAATTCAAGGCATTATCAAGTGTTTGTCTAATTTTGAATGAGAGACTGATAAAGTGTGTGCAGCGTGTGCAAAAAACAAAGCAGAGCTCATGCCTTTCATGCAACTTTTTTGAAATCATCATTAGAGTCGCATCATGCAGCCTTAGAATGTATTAAAAATCAAAACATATAGCCCAACATTTGTATCACAACTAAAGTTGCATAAATAACTCTAAATTAAGCACACAGGAGGACCTGTTTCTTTGTTAACTGCTCAACACAGAATAGCCGCATGTGCACACTCCCTCAAATCGTTTGGAGAAAATATCCTTTCTATTTTATTCAGCTATGTTCAGTTGTATTCTTCATACTTTAAAATAATATGAAACAATGCCACGGAATTCTAAGCAAATGTTGTCTGCTAAATTAACTAGAGTAGCCCACAGCCATATGACATAGCCAGATCAGGGCCTAACATAAGGACAACTCAGAGTATGCTATTCTGTTCTTCTGACTACACTGTCTTCATATCATGTTTCTTTAGACCTGTCTAAAGTAAATCATGGATTTATTGTGATGGTGTAGGCTATAATAAATTGATTTATTAGACTTTTTTAAATGTAGATGTTCCAAAGGTCTGCATCAGTGGCTTGTAGGCTATGCGTGGAAGCCAGGAGATGCTAAATGTGTTTATGTTAATTAACGGTAAATTACCGTTAAACCGGCAGTTATTTGCTTGACAATCACCGGCTGACAAAATGTCATGACTGCCACAGCCCTATCTGTGCGTCTGTGATTATGTCCAGTTCAACAATATAAGGCTTCTGTTGACTTACAGCATGCAAAGCGGTGTGACCCTGATAGGAAAAGCATATATGAATAGACGCCAGCAGTCAAGACCCAGCCTGTACCTGCCTTTCTTGCACTAACACTTGCACTTGTCTTTTCTTACTAGCACTGACTGCTAATCACTGCTTTATTGAGAACACGTTTTACTTAACACGACTGCAATATGTGTTATTCTGCATAATTGCATTACGTAAAGCTCTAGCCATATTATTATTATTATTTTGTATTATTATTTTTTATTTTTTTACCAGTCAGTTCCCCTTGGAACCCTACAGATTTTTTATATTAAAAACTGAAGAAGAGAAAACACCCACAAAGTATTTTATTTGGCTCCAAGTCCTGTCACCCTCTCTGAAAATAGAAATTCTAAGGGGCAGATGATAATCCAGCCACTTGTGCTTTGATTAAAAATAACTGGGAGACTTCTACTACAGGGTGTTGTTGTTTTTGTCCTGTTTTTCTTTCACTTACGTGTTTTGATTTATGGTATTGGGAATGTGCTTCTCCCCAAGACTCCTCTTGCCTGTGGAACCAGTTTGCCTGTTCTAAGAACAAGTGCATCGCCAAGCAGTGGCTGTGTGATGGAGAGAACGACTGTGAGGACGGACTGGATGAGAGTGTGCAGATATGTGGTAAGTACCCACGGTCATATAGCTATACTTTGGGTGAAGATTACATGTATCTCAAACATGCAGTTTGAGACCAGTCTGAGACCATTCCCAGTTGGCAAAACTGGATGGAATGATGTCATTGCAACCTGATTACAACATTGTTTTGAGACCAGTTGGAGACCTTTTAATTTTAAACTAGTTTCTAGACTATTGAAATGATAACACAGAAATGAAATTAGAAACATATTGAAAATACTTTGATGGGTGGTGAGGCCATGAGGCAGAGCAATTTCACCATGTAAATGAGACGTAACAATAATGAATTTGCCAATAAAAAGAAATAATCATACAACAATAAATGTAAAATGTTTGTCGAGAACAGTGGTATAATTGGATTTTCAAGGCAATATGAATGAAATAGCCCTAAGCTTATTCATTTTTACATTTTACATTTTAGTCATTTAGCAGACGCTCTTATCCAGAGCGACTTACAGTTAGTGAGTGCATAAATGTTTCATATTCCTTGCACTATTGCGATCAAAAGAAAGGAAGTGCATTTTAAACAGACATGCATTATTGAGCAAATGTACTTACCTTTATTGTCACAGTATGAGGCTTTGTATTGTCTCTGAGGCCACATAAAACGTAACAGATCTTGTCCGATATAGGCCTCTGCTTGAATGTACAGATGTAGGATCTTAATTTGAGCCAGTTTGCTACAGTAGGAAAATAATCCTACAGCAACTGCAAATGTGATCATTGTAATTAATGGACACTTTCGTAAGGGTTGATACATTTTTCATAAGGGAAAATCAACTCTGAACTGTCAAAGTGGAAATTACAAACTTCAGAAGCATTTTTAAACCTAAAAGAGTTATACAAGTTTAAAATTTCCTGCATTGCAGGAAAGTTATCCTGCAACAGGGTGATCAAATTAAGATCCTAAATCTGTAAGTGGCAAGAATGGAATGGATATGATCATTTTCCCATCCTTTACATTGTTACTCATAGTAGTCTTAGGTTATAGTTCAGCTTAGTCCATTCTGCAGTTTGTTTGACCTGCCCCCTCTTTCTCCCTATTTGCCTCCTCAGGTTTGATAACATGTGCCCCAGGGTTATTCAGCTGCCCTGGGTCCTACGCCTGTGTCCCTAAACGCTGGCTTTGTGACGGGGAGAGAGACTGTCCTGATGGCAGCGACGAATTGGCTGCAGCTGGATGTGGTAAGTTTGCAATGAGCCTCCATATCATGTTAAATAGTAAAGATCATATTGTCTGTGGCTCTATCTGTTGGTGTGATCTTCTGTTGTCATCTACAGTGCATTCAGAAAGTATTTAGACTCCTTCCCTTTTTCCACATTTTGTTACGTCACAACCTTATTCTAAAATGGATTAAATAAAATATTTTCCTCATCAATCTACACACAATATCCCATAATGACAAAGCGAAAACAGGTTTTTAGACATTTTTGCAAATGCATTAAAAAAACAACAACAGATACCTTATTTACATAAGTAACCCAGACCCTTTGCTATGAGACTCGAAATTGAACTCTGGTTTATCCTGTTTCCATTGATCTTCCTTGAGATCTTTCTACAACTTGATTGGAGTCCACCTGTGGTAAATTCAATTGATTGGACATGATTTGGAAAGGCACACACCTGTCTATATAAGGTCCCACAGTTGACAGTGCATGTCAGAGCAAAAACCAAGCAATGAGGTCGAAGGAATTGTCCGTAGAGCTCCGAGACAGGATTGTATCGAGGCACAGATCTGGGGAAGGGTACCAAAAAATGTCTGCAGCATTGAAGTTCCCCAAGAACACAGTGGCCTCCATTCTTAAATGGAAGAAGTTCGGAACCACCAAGACTCTTCCTAGAGCTGGCCGCCCGGCCAAACTGAGCAATCGGGGGAGAAGGGCCTTGGTCAGGGAGGTGACCAAGAACATGATGGTCACTCTGACAGAGCTCCAAAGTTCCTTTGTGGAGATGGGAGAACCTTCCAGAAGGACAACCATCTCTGCAGCACTCCACCAATCAGGCCTTTATGGTAGAGTGGCCAGACGGAAGCCACTCCTCAGTAAAGGCAGATGACAGCCCACTTGGAGTTTGCCAAAAGGCACCTAAAGGACTCTCAAACCATGAGAAATAAGATTATCTGGTCTGATGAAACCAAGATTGAACTCTTTGGCCTGAATGCCAAGCGTCATGTCTGGAGGAAACCTGGCACCATCCCTACGGTGAAGCATGGTGGTGGCAGCATTATGCTGTAGGGATATTTTTTCAGTGGCAGGGACTGGGAGACTAGTCAGGGTTGAGGGAAAGATTAATGGAGCAAAGTACAGAGAGATCCTTGATGAAAACCTGCTCCAGAGCGTGCAGGACCTCAGACTGGGGCGAAGGTTCACCTTCCAACAGGACAATGACCCTAAGCACACAGCCAAGACATCGCAGGAGTGGCTTCGGGACAAGTCTCTGGATGTCCTTGAGTGGCCCAGCCAGAGCCCGGACTTGAACCCGATCAAACATCTCTGGAGAGACCTGAAAATAGCTTTCAGCGACGCTCCCCATACAACCTGACAGAGCTTGAGAGGATCTGCCGAAAAGAATGGGAGAAACTCCCCAAATACCGGTGTGCCAAGCTTGTAGCGTCATACCCAAGAAGACTCAAGGCTGTAATCGCTGCCAAATATGCTTCAACAAAGTACTGAGTAAAGGGTCTGAATACCCTAAATGTAATATTTCAGTTTTTTTAAATATAACTATGGGGTATGATGAGGGAACAATTTAACTTAATCCATTTTATAATAGGGCTGTAACATAACAACATTTGGAAAAAGTCAAGGTGTCTGAATAACTTCCGAATGCACTGTATGTCAATTTTAAATGGAAACTGCACCACTAGACACTATTTGGGGTGCATGTCCAGTAGTCCTACATAATTATGAGTTATGAAAGGTGTTTCGGACATACTTATGCACCATAAAGCTATTTTTGAATTTTTGCGCTGGGAGAGTTCAACCAATGAAGTCATCGGTTGATTGAGCCTGCTGTCTGATCTAAAAATTTATGTAGTCATATTTTGTAGCAATTGTTCTGGCCTTTGTGTTTCGCCGATTTCACGATCATGCTAGCAGCGAGTAGATATTGTTGTCCTTGTTCAATAGAGCAATTGAACTCAACGATGTTCCTATCTGCCACGACATTGCAGGATATCTAGATTGACTCATGTTCCCTGGCTTTATAAAGACTTCAGCCTGATGGGAACCCTACTTCCTTGTCCAATTACGTTCCCACCCTCGACGGCAGGCTTTTCAAAATGGGGGCGGTACTAGTTTCTACAGGTTCATGGGAGCTATGTTACTGTCTATCCGAGATTGCTATATAATTTCAATGACAGCTTCTGATGATTCCTCTTTCCAAGAAGAGCTGGACGACGGAACCGTTTTTTATGTTATTTTACATAGGGACATACAGCCCTTGTCCTTTGAGCTGGAATACACTGAAGATGAATTGATACAGCGAGAACAAGAATTGCAAGACCAGCAAGCAGCGATGGGGAGCCCTATGCATGGTGCTGTCCAGCAATGCCGACGGAATGGGAATGTCTGTGCTGCAACAAATTCGATCGCCAACAGTTCTTACTGGAGAGGGGCAATGCAGACCCTATGCATGGATTGTGTGTGTGTGTGTGACAGACCATTGAACTTTCGCACATATGGATAGATGGGTGCTGGAGACGTTCTTCAGAACCTCCAAGATCAACTGGCGGCGGCAGCCTAAACCAGCTGGACCAGTACGGCAAATGACAAACCAGTAAGTTGTTTTGCTGTCTGTAGCTAGCTAGCAATATAAGCTTTCGTGATCGATTTGGCCATAACGTGGCTTGCTAGTACCACTACAAGCCAAGCTAGCCAAGTTGAGCTAGCTTAGTTTTCTATACCCTTAATGTAATGTAGCCTAATGATATAGCTAGCTAGCTAGTTAACGTTAGCTTGCTAGTCTAGCTAGCCTCAGCGCATCTCATTCGGAGCAAAACTTTAGCCATTCTTTTATGATGGTGACGAAGAGTAAAGTAATGACTTTGGCTTTATGACTCATATTAGTCTTTGAGTAACTATAACGTGTGTCTGTGAGATGTGTAATATTATGTACCGTGCTGCTGCAGTAGGAATACAGACAGTACACAATGATTGCCCACAATGATCTAATAGTGTTTTTGTCATTCTCTTACAGCTTGGTGGCCTGCAGATTATTTTTGGAGTTTGTTCTACATGGGGAGAAGCTAGGCAGAGGACACAGAATCCCCTTGCCTGCATGTGTTGTTGGTGTCATTCGAGCAATTTATCCTTCACACGATGGACAGTAGGTTGGATACAAAGAAGTTGATGACTCGAGGAGATGTGAAAGGTCCCATAACGACAAGCTCCCCTTGTATCAAAGTGTCTCGGGAACACGTCACTGCACCCCCCAAACACACAATATGCATGTATTCCCTTTGTAGAACTGTAGTATATATATATATTATATTTTTATTCTACTGTATATATGTCATACATGAACTGTTCCTGCTTACTGCTGTGTTAACTCACCTCGATCTCCATAGCAAATAAATGTTGTCTTGACTACAAGCCATGCCTACTTATTTGCTACATTGACAGACTAATCTACTGTTTTATTAAAACATGTTTACTTACCAACAAATAAAGTTGAAATGATACACCAATTCCCTGCATCATTTGTTTTAGCAGTAAGATTATAGCTGAGTGGCACAGTGGTCTAAGGCACTGCATCGCAGTGCTAACTGTGCCACTAGAGATCCTGGTTCGAATCCAGGCTCTGTCGCAGCCGGCCGTGACCGGGAGACTCATCGGCGGTGCACAATTCGTCCAGGGTAGGGGAGGGAATGGCCGGCAGGGATGTAGCTCAGTTGATAGAGCATGGCGTTTGCAACGCCAGGGTTGTGGGTTCGATTCCCACGGGGGGCCAGTATAAAAAATAAAAAATAAAAATAAAAACAATTATTCACTAACTGTAAGTCGCTCTGGATAAGAGTGTCTGCTAAATGACTAAAAATGTAAAATGTAATAGCTAGTTACTTCTAAAACATTTCATGAATATCACAATAAATTGATCCAGGAGTTGAAGTCAACACTTTATTGGTTTCTGATGCAGCTGGAATAATTTAGTCACTTGTCAGTACACTCGTAAAAAAGATTATATAAAACCTTTTGTCAAACTCCATTATACACATACAGTGAGGGAAAAAAGTATTTGATCCCCTGCTGATTTTGTACGTTTGCCCACTGACAAAGAAATGATCCGTTTATAATTTTAATGGTAGGTTTATTTGAACAGTGAGAGACAGAATAACAACAACAAAATCCAGAAAAATGCATGTCAAACATTTTATAAATTGATTTGCATTTTAATGAGGGAAATAAGTATTTGACCCCCTCTCAATCAGAAAGATTTCTGGATCCCAGGTGTCTTTTATACAGGTAACGAGCTGAGATTAGGAGCACACTCTTAAAGGGAGTGCTCCTAATCTCAGTTTGTTACCTGTATAAAAGCCACCTGTCCACAGAAGCTATCAATTAATCAGATTCCAAACTCTCCACCATGGCCAAGACCAAAGAGCTTTCCAAGGATGTCAGGGACAAGATTGTAGACCTACACAAGGCTGGAATGGGCTACAAGACCATCGCCAAGAAGCTTGGTGAGAAGGTGACAACAGTTGGCACGATTATTCGCAAATGGAAGAAACACAAAATAACTGTCAATCTCCCTCAGCCTGGGGCTCCATGCAAGCTCTCACCTCGTGGAGTTGCAATGATCATGAGAACGGTGAGGAATAAGACCAGAACTACACGGGAGGATCTTGTCAATGATCTCAAGGCAGCTGGGACCATAGTCACCAAGAAAACTATTGGTAACACACTACGCCGTGAAGGACTGAAATCCTGCAGCGCCCACAAGGTCCCCCTGCTCAAAAAAGCACATATACAGGCCCGTCTGAAGTTTGCCAATGAACATCTGAATGATTCAGAGGAGAACTGGGTGAAAGTGTTGTGGTCAGATGAGACGAAAATGGAGCTCAACTCAACTCGCCATGTTTGGAGGAGGAGGAATGCTGCCTATGACCCCAAGAACACCATCCCCACCATCAAACATGGAGGTGAAAACATTATGCTTTGGGGGTGTGTTTCTGCTAAGGGGACAGGACAACTTCACCACATCAAAGGGACGATGGACGGG